CAGCAGCCAGAGCAATCTCCACAAACCAAGCGTGAGATCCCACTGCCCCGCTCAGAGCCCCCCACCACACGTGGAATGAAGTCCACACGCCCACGTGGCCGACGAGGCCGTGTGCGGGCACCAACTCCCGTTCTCCCTTCTACTCATGATGCCCCAAGCACACTGGCTGCCTCTGCTCCTCAAACTTTTTCAACTTTCTGTCTCTGATGCTCCTCGTGCCTGCAAGGGTCTTCCTCCCATTCTTCACCCAGCTGGATTTCCCTCCTTCTTCAGGCTGTTCAAATACCACCACCTCCCGGGCAGCGGCTCCAATCTAAAGCATCTCCCCACCCCCTGCCCTGCAACATCTCTTTATCAGACTCACAACCAGCCTGGTCATTTCCTGCAGAGGCCCTCACCACCACCTGAAGTTCCCTTGTTTGTTCATTTGCTTGTTGTTGGTCTCTCCCCACTAGACAGTGGGCTCTGTGAGGGCAGGGCCTGGGTTCCTGCTGTTCCCCCAGTGCACACACTGTGCCTGGCACGTGGATGGGCTGACGGAGGGAGAAGGCCTGCTCTGCTCAGTCCTCTCCAAGCCGACGTCCTGAGCAGCACTTCACCCCTCATTTGCCCCACTCTCCTGTCTGGATGCTCCATCTTTTCCTCCCCCGAGTCACCCTGCTTTCTCTCCTGTTAAAATTCTTGCTGATATTGAAGTATAAGCTGCCTAACTAATGATATCCAGCTCTTCTTTCTTACGCTTCCTTTGTACCGTACTTAGCAAGGCTCCATAGAGCTAAATACTTTGACTCATTTCCATGTTTTGATAAAAGGTATTTGCTCTGGCCTGAATTGTGTGCCCCCTAATCCATACGTCAAAGCCGCCCCCCCTCCCCCCAGGTGATGGTATTTGGAGGTGGGGCCTTTGCAAGATCATGAGGTTTAGATGAGGTCATGAGGGTGGGGCCCTCATGATGGGATCAGTGCCCTATAGGAGAGGCCCCAGGCACTCTCTGTCTCCTTGTGTGAGGGAGTCTGCCAGTCAGGAAGAGAGCCCTGCCCGGGAGCTGAGTGAGCCAGCACCTGGATCTCGGACTTCCAGCCTCCAGAACTGTCAGAAGTCACTTCCCGTGATTTGAACCACTGAGTGCACAGTATTTGGTTACAGCAGCCCACACTAAGACTATTTTGTTTTCTTTTTAGTATTTCGTGTACCTTATCTGCTTCCTAAGCTGCGGACTGCAGAAATTAGGATCGCAGCTCCCCGCTTCCTTCTCCCTCAAAAGCCCCCAACCATCCTCTGCTTCTGATAGGTGGCGAGCAACGGAACCGTCCGGGTCACACAGACTCCAAAGGGTTTAGCACAAAGAAAGGCGCTAGCCTGCAGTCGGATAATCTGGAAGGGAAGACGGAGGAAAGAAGCTGAGAAGATTCAGAAACGTCAGTCACTCCTGCAATTGACGAGGTGGATGACCCCGTGCTGGGGGGAGGGCGGCCAGGACTGTGAAGCACCCGGAACAGCTGAAGAAACAGGAGTGTTCAAAGGGGGAAACACTAGGGGAAGCGACCCAGGTGTCCATCCTCGGAGGAATGGACAAACAAAATGTGGTCTATCCACGCAGTGGAACACGTTTCAGCCTTAAGAGGCGATTCTGACACATGTGACAACATGGATGAACCTTGATGACATTATGCTGAGTGAAGTCAGCCAGACATAAAAAGACAGATGCTGTCTGATTCCACTCGTATGAGGTCCCTAGAATAGTCCAATTCAGAGAGACAGAGTGGAATGGGGCCGCCAGGGGCTGGGGGGAGTTAGTGTTTAACAGGAACAGAGTTTCAGTTTGGGAAGATGACGAAGTGCTGTGGGCGGATGGTGGTGAGGGTTACCCAAGAATGTGAATGTAGTTAGGACCACTGACCTGGGCGCTTCAAAGTGGTTAAAACGGTAAATTTTATGGTACACATATTTTAACACAATAAAAATACACCCCCAAACACAAAAAGGAGGAACTGATTCAGCTACGACATGGATGGACCTCAAAAACATTATGCTCAGTGAAAGAAGCCAGACACAAAATGTCACATGTTGTGTGATTCCATTTACAGGAAATATCCAGAATAGGCAAAGCCATGGAGACAGAAAGCAGATTGCTGGGTGCCAGGTTCCAGCAGGAGCAGAAAATGGGGAGTGTGCTCACTGGGTATGCGGTTTCCTTTTGGGGTGATGAAAGTGTTCTGAAACCAGATAGTTGTGATGGTTGCACAACACTGCGAATGGACTAAATGCCATTGAATTATACACTTTAAACTGGCTAAGATGGTGAATTTAATGTTATACGTAAAATAATTTTTTTTAAAAGGTGGAAATGCTGAGGAAGTGTGATTTTGAGCGAGGACCCACTACACACAGGGCAGGGCCACCATCTAGGCTGTGAGGCTGTGCTACACGACTCCTGGTGGGCCTTTCACACAGACTGTGAGGGACACTCTGTGCAACTGGACCAGCTGCCCGGGTGCAGGACGCTGTTCTAGGTGCTGCTGGAGGGCACACAGACGAAAGAAAGTGGATCCTGTGGTCAATGAGTGAACCGTTTTAAGGGAGAGAAGGAGGGTCCTCTGTCCTCGTCCTGTTCTTTCCTTCCTTCTCCTCTGATTGTGCAATTTCAGAAGTACTTTATGAAAAAAGAAACCAGTATGGGTGCACAAGTTACTTATGCCTTTGTCTGCGAGTGGCACAGACTGATGAGTAGTATCAGAAGGCTAAAGCCAAAACGAGATGAGGCTTCCTGAAAAGCCTCTCTTATTACATGACAAAGACCACAAAGAGATGGGTACACAGCTTTCAGCCAATGGTGTAAAGTCGATGATAAAGTCCTGTTTTGCTTTAGTCTTTTCTGTTCAGAATGCTTTTTGAACTGAAAAAGGAAGAAAGAGCAGCGAAAGAGAAAACCCAGGTGAGTGGGGAGATTGTCAGGGAGCCCTAGGGCGCTGAGGGAGCTCAGGCTTCTGACTCTGATGAGCAACAGACAAGGGGTTAGGAGAGCGAGCGAAGGTGATGCGCGCTCTCAGGGGTTGTGGCGGGACTGTAGGGAGAGGGAGCCCTACCCGAGACCAGACATGGGTGAGGGTAATCGTGATTTACCGGAAGAGAAGAAGGTAAAACTCCACACATTACCCACGAGAGATTCCCGAAAGAAAAGCCAGCACCGATCACCGGGAGCCAACATGAGTTCTCGGAAGCCAGTCCTGTGAGACTGACCTCATTTCCTTCTCAGACTCTAGGCTGACATTTCAGGAAAACCAAGTAGACATGGTGTGTGTCTGAATTTCCAGCATCAAGGCATTTAACAAAGTCTCTTAGAACATCTCACAGGCAAGGATGAGAAACGACAGGCTCCCACGGGTCCCAAATTACTGACTGTCAGCCAGATCTGGCCTGCAGACTGTTTGTGTACGGCCCGTGAGCTAACAGTGGTTTTTACATTTTTAAAGGGAAGAGGAAGAGGAGGAAGAGGAGAAGGAAGGGGTGGAGGGGGAGAAGCGACAGCCGCAGCAGCTGGCTACAAAGCCAAAAACATTGACTATCTGACCCTTGGCTGAAAAAGTTGGGCAATTGCTGGGCTAGACAGGGAGGGCCAGGAGGGGAGATGTCCGCTGGTCCAGGTGCTGATTATTGGTTACCATCACCTTAGGGACAAGGCATACAGGCACCCCCGCCTGTGTCCTCCTCCCTGTGTTTACCAGTGAGGGTATAGAGAAGGCACAGCGATTGATCTGACTGATGTTGGGAGCAACAGCAAAAGTAATGTGGATGATATCAGTAGAGTATGACCATGGATGAAAACCAATAGGACAGAGTCCACCTGGGCCCTGAATGCAAGGGCATATGGTCGAACGGGAGACCAGGTGAAAAGGGCTGAACTTATCCCTGGGAGTTCCTACTAAGTTCGTTAGCAATATGAAATGGCTACTGTAATAAAGTAAGATTTAAAGAGCTAATTTCATTTTGAGCTACATCACAGAATTATGAGATCTAGAACAAGAGCCAATCCTTGGGTTTACAGCTTTCAGCCACACTTGGAGTACGGATCCATCCTACCATGCTCCAGAGAGTCTGCCGGCACTGAATAATGCGTTCAGCTCTGGGCACCCCATTCTAAGAGGAATGTGGATAAAGTGGGCATGTGCGAAGGAGACCAGCTAGGATGGTGAACCACAGAAAGCTGGGTAAGAGGACAGAAGTCAGGGAATGTGGTGGTGGAGAGGAGCGATGGGGAAGAAAGGGCACACAGGTCTCCAGATACCTCAATTCCTAACACCTGTGAAATGGAAGGCCTCAGGGCTGGAAGGGGACCCTTGAGTGAGAATTCAAGGAAGCCAGGTTCTGTATTCAGCATCTCCCCAACTGGAAACAATCCCAATGTCCTTCCACTTGGACCCAGATCAACAAACTGTGGTCGAGCCACACCATGGAAGGCTACTCAGCCATAAAAAGGAATAAACTACTGATTCAAGCCAACAATATGGATGACTCTTACATTATGTGAAAGAAGCCAGACTCAAAAGGTCACATACTACATAATTCCATTTACATGACATTCTGGAGAAGTCAGAACTATAGAAATAAACAGATCAGTCATTGCCAGGGGCTGGGGGAAGGGGTGATTACAAAGGGCCATGAAGGAATTTTGGGAGTGATGGACTTATTCTAAATCTTGATTGTTTGGAGGTTACCTAATTGTACGTGCCTGTCAAAACTCACAGAACTGTATGCTAACCATGGTGAACTCTTGTTGCTGTTAGTGCTGTTGAGTCCATTCCGACTCCTAGTGACCCTGCGGACAGCAGAGCAGAACCCTGCCCAGTCTTTTCGTGCCATCCTCTCACCTTGCACTGCTGTACCAGACGATGCTCCCCTGCTACTCATAAGGTTTTCATGGCCAATTCTTTCAGAAGTGGTGGCCAGGTCCTTCTTCCTAGTCTGTCTGAGTCTGGAAGCTCCACTGGAACCTGTCCACCATGGGTGACCCTGCTGGTATTTTAAAATACCAATGGCATAGCTTTCAGCATCACAGCAACACATAACCGCCACAGTCTAACAACCAACAGACAGGTGATGTGGCTCCCTGACTGGGACACGAATGCGGGCCACAGTGGTGAGAGCACTGAATCTTAACCGTGGGCTGGCCTGGTGAACTTGACTGAGTGTAAATTATGTCTCAACACACCTGGCTTTAAAAATAATGAAGCCAGGTTCAGTGAGAGGTGGACAAGGAGACCTGGGGTGGTGGGCACTGATGCGTGGCCCAGGATGGAGGTGTTCAGTCACGGGAGCAGAGTTTACACAAGATGCTTTTTAAGACCCTGTGACCCTAGGATTCACGGACATCACAATTTGCCTCTCCTCTCTTAAAGTTGATTCGTTCAACCAGATTTTGCGCCTGACACTGCTCTAGGCACCGGGGATGCAGCGGTGAACAAAACAAAGCTTTTATGGGACTTGCACTCTAGCGGATAGAGGCGGACAATCAACAAAGCAACAAGCAAGTACAGTGTATCAGATGGTGATCAGTGCTCACAGGAGAAAAACGATGCAAAAAAGGGAACTGGGAGTGTGGGGCAGGACAGCTGCAATTTTATATGTGATGGCCAAAGATGGCCTCCCCAGTGAGGTCACATTGGAGCAGAGCCCTGAAGGGAGTGAGGGAGGGAGCCGTGTGGATATCAGGGAACAGTATTTCAGTCCAAGGGAACAGCAAGCCAAAGTCCTGAGGCAAGAGTGTGGCTGGCGTGTTTGAGGAAGAGCAAGAAGCTTGGCAGGGCTGGAGCCGAGTGAGAGGAGGGCAGGAAGCAGCCAGATCGTGCAGGGCCTTGTCGGCCACTGTAGGAACTCTGAGCAGAGGAGTAACAGGGTCTGACTCTTTCTTTAAAGGATTCCTCTGGCCACTGTATTGACAACAGTAGGAGGAAGCTGGGGTGACAGCGAGGAGACTGTTACAACAATCCAGAGTGGACAGGCAGTGGACCAGGGTTGTGGTGGTGGTGGAAGGGGGGGAAACGGAGAGGGTCTGGACAGATTCTGAAGGCAGTGCTGCGCAATGTGCTGACGGTTTGGATGTGGAGTGTGAGAAAAAGAGAGGAATCAAAGACAGAAGCAAGGAATCCAGGTTTTTTGCCTTAGCAACTGAAGGATGAAACTACCATTTACGGGACAGGGAAGGGGGGGGAGGCGGGATTGTGGGGGAAGCAGGAACGTGGTTCAGATGTAATTAAGACTCAGGTGCCTGCTGGGCATCCTTCGAGCTGGACCTCCCAGGAAGGCGGGGAGAGGGCCAGGCTGCACACAGAGATTTGGGAGTTATCAGGTTAGAGGCGGATAGAGCCACGAGGCTGAGACCACTAGGACGAGAGGCATTAAAAAGGAGAAGAGGCCCAGATGGAGCCTGGAACATTCCAACCAAGTCGGGGAGATGAGGAGGAACTGAAGAGACAGAAGCAGCAGCCAGCGAGGCAGAAGGAGACCCGAGGGCGTGGCGTTCCCTCTCTCCATGAAGAAAGTCGTTCAGTCAGAGGGAGCTGTCAACTGTGTCAAACCCTGCAGAAGGGGCAGGGAGAGGGGGACTGAGAACGGGCCACAGCACATGACAAGGATGGCACTGGTGACCTGGCCAGAGCCACTGCAGGTGAGTAATGGAGGCAAAAGCCCGTGGGGGGAGGGGTGAGAGAGGGTGGGAGGAGAAGCGGGGGGAGACAGGAGATAGTCTGGACAGAATAGACGTCCCCACTCCCAGGGCCTGGGGGTCAGCGGGGGGATGTGGGACACAGGAACAGCTCCTCATCTCTCCCCTGCCCCCCAGGGCGTCCCCCCGTGTCCCCATTTGGAACGGCAGCTCCATGGCTGGTTCTCCTTCCGCAGACAGGGCCAGGTGGACGAGGAGGACAGACACACGGAATCTTTCCAGGCTCAGACGAACGGCTGCAAACAACTGAAGATAGTAGTGGGCAATGAATTCCCTCCACGTGAAAAGAAAACTGATTTTCATTCATCGGTTTGAACCTCTGCCAAGTCACAAATAAATAGGAAATAAGTCCTATAAAAAAAAATTGCTCTCAGAGTTCTTGCCAGAGACAAATACCTATCTTTCCTTCTCTGAAAACTGTCCAAGATGCTTGTAAACCCCGAGAAAAACTCTCTCCCTTTCTACACAAGACCCCTCTCCATCCGCCCCCCCATTACCAGTCCCAGGGTTCCTCTTATTCTGTGAGACCAAGTGAGAGAGCCAGGCGAGCAGTCCCACTTCTGGAATGTTCTTCCACACACTTTCAAACCTCTGGGGGGCCCTCCCTGGTCAACTCCCCCCTCACCGCTGTGCATCCCTCCTACTCTTTTCTGTCACCACGCTGGGAGACCCCCATCCCCAAAGCTCCCCAGAACTTTTACCACAGGTTCCAAACCAGACCATCGGGCACGCGAGCGACCGTTACAGAAAGGGGGAATCCCATCCTGACCTGGAGAAGATGCCAACAAGCTCAGTCTTACTGGCCCTCCTCATTTATCATTACTCCTGCTCAAGAGTCCCCTTCAGCCAGGTCATCCTGTCACATCCTTAGGCAAAGGTCACATTTGCCTATACTTTTGTCCCCCAACCTAAAACCCCATGCGCATGTCACCCACTGACATGAATAGCCCAGTTCTCATGTGGCTCTTGGAGCCTCTCCTTTCCCCCTGCACACAAGCTATCTCTCCCCACAAGACAACTTCGATGACAACACTCACGGTGACCACACATGCCTTCAGAAGGCCCTGGAATGCAGGGCATGAGGACTAGATACTTAGACACTGGGTCCCAGGGAATAGGACAAGCTGGCCTCTCTCCCCTGTCCCCCATCTTCGGGGGCCATGGCTTCGGAAAGGCACCCCTCCCTTATAGTTCTGCTTTCCTGTCACAAAGGAAGCCTCGGTTCTGCTTCCCAAGCAACCTGAACGCCAGTGCCACGTACACAGGTGTCGCACCGAGAACTCATCAGCATCACTCTTTGGGCAAGTCACTGCTAGAAAGGGAGGCCCAGGGCACGCCCATCAGACATATCCTCATCATCCAGTATCGCCTGGCCAGGCTGGAGTGGCCTTTTGCAACGCCCTGGCCTTCCAGAGAGACCGCTGGTGTGCAGAGTTGAAACCTGCGCCGACTCTTCCTGAACCACCAGGACTGCCCAACTTCCTCCCCTCCCTCCCCTCCGCACGCCCTCCACACTCTACACTCCCCAGACATCTAACTGGGAGCTCACTTTTGCATCTTTTCTTTTAGTAAAACAGAGCAACTTTTCTCTGACTATCTCAAGACACAGGGGAGGTGGTGCCTCACTGACAGCTGGTTCCTGAGCATACTAACCACCCTTTCTTTACCGGCTCTGTGCGCCTCCCAGGTCCCTTTCCTAACAGCGTCTCCGTCTGTCAAATGAATGAGTCAGGAGCAACTTGTCATCTCCAGACAATGCCAAGGCCCGCCACTTCTCCCCCGAAACATCCTTCGGACCTTTATTTTTTGTGCTGTTTCTACAGCAAATACCTCCATCTTACACCCACATACTATATAACTGGCCCTCTACCTCTCGTCTCCACAAATGACCCCAAGAACTGGCCCCATGAGTTCTCGCAGTAGAGGAACCTGGAGCAGCTCGGACCGTGTGGGATCTCCAGCTGGGCGTCAGCAACACCCCTCTCCATTCGGCGGCTTCGCTTTCTTGCTCCAGAAGGTGGTCTTCACACAGCTCTGATCCAATTTTCATGAAATACAGTTTATAAATAAATAGAATCCCATTTACACAGTGGGTGGCTACGCAAGGATATCTTCTTTGACTCTAGCAAAGAATGCTGTAACATTAAACATTCCCAATTTACCTGTTTGGCTCATTCAAATGCGTAAATACCAGGTTTGCTTGAATAATCACAACAATCGCGTTTCTCATTTATTGTCCGACCCTGCAGAGTCTTCAAAGAGCTTTCACGTGCAGCCTTACTGATGCTGAGAAAACGATGTGAGGGAGGCAGGGGACACTTTATGAACAAGAAGGCACAGAGAAGTCAAGCCACACAGCTGGGCTGCTGCCTGTCCTTCTCAATCAGGCACATGCTCTACATTCTACTATTCAGATGGTTACAACTGAACTCTTAGCCAAAGCCAACTCGTTTCCTCCACCTCTGCCCTGACCTCAGCACACGTTATCTTGAAGGCAGATTCCTCTGATCTTATAAAAATTCCAACCTGCCCTACTGGAGGTACATAATTTTTGGGTTTAGTGAGAACCAAAAGGAGAAAGTTTTTCAGAAAACTGACCATGGTTTTCTGGAAAACCACGTCTACCTTCTCCTATTGAAGAGACTGTCCACCATCCACTACCTCCACACAAGGCAACTTTCTATTATTTCCACACAAGCAGGTTCTCGTTTTAGTTGCTTGCACACTTTCTACCATGCCCCCATAATGCACGGCTGTGCTTTCTTGGAGGGACCCAATGCAGTTTAAAGGGAAACAGAGCTGGGGTGGTGGCCCTGGGAAGCCCAAGTTCACTGCAGGCAGACACTCTGGAGAGCACCTGAACAAAACTCACAGGCAGTGGCCCCAGGCCCTTGGTCTCGTCTAAGATATCAGCAGGATGGATGATGTACTGAGAGGGGCTATTTCTGAGCCCTAAACTGCAGCCTCCAGACAAATCAGCCGGTCCTGTAAGAGTCTATGGCCAAATTTACCCCAGCCATCTTCTGCAAAGAGGGGGATGCTCGCCCAGCCTGTCAGTTCGGCAGAGTGTAAGCTCAGAGGTGGGAAGGGTAAACGGCACAACGCTGTCTCTTTGGTCAGTGGTTCTCAAACCTGGCTGTGCGTGAATATCACTGAGAACCTGACCTTGCACCCCAAGTCCCCGTTCACTCACCCCTAACAGACTCCTTTTCTCCACCCCAAGACTGGACTCACTGGGTCTGGGAAGCAGCCACTGCCCATCACATTCTAATTCTGGTTGTGTTTCAGGAGAAGATTCTATGTCAGCGTCTCAGAAAAAACTCACCTAAAGGAAAAGCAGGAGTGAAGAGGAGGAAGAATGAGGCAAAGAGAACAGGAATATAAAGACTGTAGAAAATGGAAAGTGAAGAGATTTCCTCAGCTCAGACAAGCATACCTTGATTCAAGTAAACATAAATTTGGAGGGGGAATGTGAATTGACACTAAGGACAAATGAGGAGACGGTTATTCATTTTACAAAAGAATTTGGCATCAGATTCCTTTAAATAGCAATCTCTGTTAGTACATTTAAAATAGGATTCCGTTTATGGAAGTGTGATTTATACAAAATCACATCTGTTACATAAAGCTCAGAAAAGGCGCTCTCCTCCCATGTAGTCTGGCTAACTATAGAGCCGGCTGAGTGCAGATGGTCACCTAGTTTCTTCCCAAAGACACCCAGCCCTGCTCTGTCACCCATTTCTACATTTTACCTGATCATGGTTAACAGACTCAGGGGCCACCCCATTCTCCTCTGGGCTTCCCTAAACTCAGAGAACAGCTGCTGAGTCCTCTTCACGCGCACTCATTCGTTCCACCATATTTCCTGAAGGCTCATCAGGCACTGGGCACTCCCCACCCGTCCTCTCAGTCAGGCACACGCTCTACATTCTACTAGTTAGATGGTTATACGTGAACTCTTAGCCAAAGCCAACTTGTTTAGGGAGCTGTAAAAAAAATGACATCTCTGGTCCTGTGGATCTTATATTCTAGTGAGAAAGAGAGGAAAGAAATAAATAAAATGTACGGGGTGTGAGATGGTGACAGGTACTATGGAAGAAAAATAAGGCTGGGGCTGGGGCACACCAGGCTGGTCTTAAAACCTTCCACAGGGTCAGCAGGGAAGGCTGTACTAGAAGGCACAGAAGGACACGTGGAAGTGAGGAAGAAGCCTGGCAGACACCTGGGGGAAGAACTCCGGGTGGAGGAGCAGGGAGAGCCCAGCTGGCAGGTGCGAGTAACAATTAGCAGTTAGGCGTGGCTGGAGTGGAGACGTCAGGGGTGGGACCTCACAAGGGATCTTGTGGCCACTGTAAGGACCAGCCTTTGTTCTGAGCAAGACAGGAGCCACTGGGAGGTTTTGTGCAAAGAGGTGACATGATTTGACTCACTTTTTCAGAGGACCCCTCTGGCTGCTCTGCTAAGATTGCAGGGACAAGCATGGGAACAGAGATGACAATTAAGATGCGGCTGGATGAATTCAGGCCAGAGGTGATGGTGGCTCAGACCAGGCTGGTAGTGGTGGAGGTGCTGAGATGTGGTCGGATTCGGACACATTTTGAAGGCAGAGCTGACGGGATTTGCTGACGTTTTGGACACAGGGTGTGCAGAAGGAAGCAGTCAAGGATGGCACCAAGATTATTTGTCAGAGCAACTCAAGGGATCAAGGTGCCATTAACAAGATGGAGAGAACCATGGAAGGAGGTTTGGGGCAGGGGATAGGAGCTTGTTTTCAGACGTGTTAAATAGGAGATGTCCAATGGAGGTACGAACGAGCGTGGGATGTACAGTGTGCAATTCCGACGAGGTTCGAGCTACCCATATCAATTTGGCAGTCATCAGCACAGAGCTGGAATTTAAGATCAGCAAGGACTGAATACAGATGAGAAGTGTGGGGACAGCCTGGGGACCCCCAACATTCAACACAGAGGGATGGGAGGAAATGAGGAGTGGACACAGAAAAGAAACAGCCCAGGAGGCAGGAGAAAGTGGCATCCTGAGAACCACATGAAGAAATGTATTTCAGCTAGAGGTGAGCGACTGTGCTGAACGCTGCTGAGAGCAAGCAGGATGAGAGCTGAACGCTGACCAACGGACTGAACGCCGCGGGACCTTTACCAGGGCTGTGGGTAGAGAGGAAGCGGGAGAGCCTGATGGGGATTCACGAGAGAAAGGCAGGGAAGAGAGCTGGAGGCAGCAAGCGCTGGC